CTCAGAGAAGCACCCCAGGAGGTGCAGCCCACCCCCCTCAAGACCAGGGAATCCATCCTCTACATCTGCTCCTGAAGCTGGCACAGAGGCTTTGCTTCAAGTGTCTCAGGAACAGAGGGACAAGCACATTCACCTCTGCAGTTCCCATTATCTCCTTACCCTCAGTCAAACATCCTCTCTTTTCTCTATCATATTAGGTAAAGGAAGCTCATCCCAGTGTTCTCAGGAGTAAGTTAATTATACCAGTGCTGAAGGCCTTTCCTTGCCTCTCCCCATCTGTCATCTTTCATTCATTATGAAGGAATGAGCCCCCACCTTCTATCAGCTCATAGCACCCGGCCACCCACCAGATTTCCAAAGAAGCACTATCGTGCTTTTCTTTATTCATGCTTCCAGCAGGGAAAAACACCCAGAGAGCTCCTCACTTGTCTTCAAAACCTCCTTTTGCTGTGACTCAACAGCAAGTTTGCCAGCACAGCGCCAGGATCACATCAGGATCCCTTCACTGCTCCTCTGTTCACCTCCACCAGTCTCACACTTTGGCAGGAGCTCTCCGGGACAAGCCTCCTCCTTTTCCCTGGTGCAATTCCACACCACAAGGCTTGGTCTTGCAGCTCATGCTGAGGATCTACCACAGGAGCATCCCCAGCTGCATCCATCAGTATCCTCCTCTTTCAGTTTGCTTTTCTCTTTTCAGTTTCAGTTCAGTATCTTCCTTTTCTGATCCATTTCTTCCCGAAGGACCACAGGAGGGACATTCAGGCCCCTCACTATACCGGTCCCACTCCCTTCCTAGACTGGTTGAGCTGGGCCAGGGCATGCAATGGTCTGGGCTGGCCCCAAGTCCTCTGAGGACTGCAGGGAAAGTGGAGCCAGATTTGTGTGTGGAATTAGCTGGAATCCCTTCAGAAGCCTGCGACACTTCATCTCCTCAGCAAAACATCTGAGATGCTGCACATTTATTTACTGTGCTGTTCCAAGTTATAAAGTGCCTTTCCAAACCACCCTGGATTCACATGGATGGGAGCTGGCATCATCCCTTCTACACTTGGAAAAGCCCACAAAGAGGCTGGAGGAGCTCTAGGAGCACAGGGGAAGCCTGGTGGGTGTTAAGTCAGTGATAAACCTGCTTTATTTTTTTTTTTTAAAGCAGAATCTCTACTAGCATAGAAAATGGGAAAGATTTTGGAAAAGATTTCACGCTCTGTACTGAGCATTGTGCTCCAGGGAAACCCAATTATCCAATACAGCGGCCCAGAGAGGCAGAATAATCCCTGTCCTTGAAGACACACAAAACCTGACTGGATGATGCCCAACTGGACCTCACTTTGAAGCTGGCTCCGGAGACTCCCAGAGTGTCCTTCCACCCCATTATCTTCTGACTGTGGAACTACACATCCCTGACACCGCAGGCAAGTCTCAGGTTGCACAGGGAACAGCAAAGCTCTTCCAGTCAGCCCCAGAGCACTCCCTGGAGCTCAGCTCTCCTCCTCAGCTCCCTGGCATGAGATACCCACAGCACAGGACTTTCTGGCCCAGTCCCTGACTTGGTGCCTTTTACACACAGGAAAATGACTCCTGTCTTGACAGCATTCCCACAGTCTTGCAGATAAGCCAGAGGGTGCCCCTGGAAAAACAAGCTGCAGGAAAGCTGAAATGTTGGAGTGAAAGTCTGGCTGGTTTGCATTTGAATTTCAGTCGAAATGCATTTAGACCAATGTTTGGCTCCAGAAACCCTTCCAGGTTTGAAAGCAGCTCCTAAGAGCCTTGCTAAAGCTGTTCTTGGCAGTGGGGTGGTGCCTGCAGGAGGAACACCAGTTCCCACTGACAGGTGGGAACTGGCCCTCTCTTACACCCAGACACACCTCCGGACTGCCATCCTGTAAGGATGGATTTTACACCTTCACCTGGGGATCATCATGGAAACCAAGGGGTTATAAAGCCCTTTTATCACCAGGAACATCACAGTAAATAAATGTGCAGCATCTCAGATGTTCTGCTGAAGAGATGAGGCATTGTGGGCTTTTGATAAGATTCCAACTAATTCCACATACAAATCTGGCTCCAAGGACTTTCCTTCCAAGCAGACTGTTACTAAGTCCTTCCACCAAAAGGCTGAATGCAGTGACTGACTGCATTCCTCCTGGCCAGGACTTTCTCTGGCCTATTCTCCCTTGCTGCAAAGCTTGGCCCTCCCTAACAGCGCGGCACAAGGAGAGAGAGGACCATGCTGCAGGACATGGGTTGGAGGATGCTGGGTTTTGTTGCTTGCTGATGTTTTCAGGGACCTCTTCTGAACTGAGATCACCTGGATTTGCTGGGCCATTTGTAGCCCCACACCCCCAAGACTGTGGCAGTAGCACAGGGGAGGGTAATTCTGCCACCAGGGAGCTCAGCCCTGAGTTCTGTGTTCAGGACTATGTGTTACAGGAATGGCAGGAAAATAGGAAGGAGCAGAGGCAGCATCACAAGGGGAAACATGACAGACTTCCCTTGGAATAGTCCCTTCCTTGGAGAGGGGTTCAAGCAGCTATAGGCTCTCCCAGATTACACCTTCCAAATCTCTGGGATCAGTCAGAAAGAGGCTGAGTTGTTGTTTCCACAGCCTGACTCTGGAAACAACACCCAGTAACACCTCACAGACATGGTTCAGCAGCGGCCCTGCTTCTGTTCCCAACACATGCAGTAAAGGGGTGTGCTGGCAGCTCAGAGAATCCCCCATGGCATGTTCAGTTGTGGCTGGTGTCCTTTAAAATAATCAGTGCATCCTCCAAAACACTGCCTGCATTCCCTGCTCCTGAAAACTGCCTGCTGGAAGTGCTAATGTGCTGTTAGACTCCATGTGATGATTATAGATGATAAACATAATTATTTTGGGTCCTGATTGCCTCCGCCATCTCCATTCTGTTGCTGATGTGTAAAGCAATCTCAGTGTTATCAGTTTTATGGGCAGAGTGTGGAGGTACAGATTTATTCCCAAAGCCAAACCTTCAGGGAAAACCCCCCCCACCTGATGCCACAAGGCACAGAGCTGTGCTGTGACAGATTCCTTCCTCTTGGAATGTGGAGTCTTTAAGATGCACCTGAACACTGCCCAGCCCAGGTCAGAGAGTGATGGAGGTGGGTTTCCTCATCCAGCTGTAAATCCCAAGGGGAGGAAAGCAAGGTGATGAAACCCCTGACTAATCCATCCTCCAGAAGAGTTCAGTTGCTTTCCAGCCATGAGAATAAAGACAGCACTGCTAGCTAGCCCTATGGGGAGGATGTCACTGTCCCTTACAGAAGAGGGTGAGGGACAGGAGACACGTGCTGTGACAACTGTAGGGATCTGCACAGGAGAAATAACCAAAGGAAGGCCCACTCTTTGTGTTCCATCATCTTCTCTTTACAATCATATTGTCCTGTTTGTAGCCTTGGGTTGTGAACTCCCTCTTTTACTGCCACATCCTGAGAGAGATGGAAGTGCAAGGTCTGGACAGCCTGCACGGCACCATAAACTTTCCTGCCAGTGCAGGAGGAAGGGGTTACTGGAGAAGGCTGGGGGGCAGAAGGAATAGTGGGATTGGCAGATCTCAAACTCCCCAAACAGCCCTGCTTCCCTCCACACTAACCCCATCATGACCTGGCTCCACAGAGACAGCCACTGCCTGGAAAACAACCCGCTCTTTAAGTTTTATTATTAAATAAATAAATCCAGCCAGCTATCACAAGGCCCTGCAGCCAGAGCAGCCAAGGAAAGGATTGGAGGAGCCAGAAAAGCTCCAGTGAGAGCAGGTAACCAGAGACGTGTTTAGCACAGAGCAGAGACAAGGCTCCTCACACGAGCAGGCTGTGGCCCCCCAGACATCCCCCCTGGCCTGGCCTGGCTGGGCAGGCTATTTACACGTACAGGCAGGGCGACGCCGAGCTCTGGCTGCTCAACAATCAACTTTTATTCTCTGCAGACCAGCAAAGCCAAGATTTCAGTAAACACGCAACCCCAAAATTGTGCCTGCGGACTGGGGAGAGCCGAGCCCGTGCTCTGCCTGCCAAACTCCAAAGCCCTGCTCCGGTGGGTGGTTGCACGGTGAGGTTTCTGTGGAGAGGAAGTGTTTTCAGTGGTCAGGGCAGGGAGCAGGGCTCTGGGAGACCTGGATCCCAACCCTGGCTCTAGGAATCTGGAAAGCTGTGATTGCAGGAAATCTCATACACACTCCAGAGCTGCTCTCCCTCTGCCCATCTCTTCTCGCTGAGGCACAAAACACTGCTCCGAGGGGAGGCTGATCACACTGCCTGACCTTGCAGGGGTGTTGCAGTGCCGGGTGATTGATGCCTGAAAGGCTGTCAGAGCTCTCTGGATTAAAATCTCTCTGGAAGGCGCTGGGAGACTGCACATACGGGTGCAGACACGTGAGAGGGAGACATGCAGCTCACACCCACTCTGCTCCCCTCCCTGCCTGCAAATCCTCACGCAGACTTGCCAGGCCAGCTACTCCTGTGTTTAAATATTTACAAGATGGGCCTGCAGAAAACCTGGGGTTTAGAGCAGAGCCAAAGCTCAGCTCAGAGCTGCCCTCACAAACCCAGCCTGCTGCTCAGGCTGCCCAGGCTCAGCCCCAGCTTTTTGCTTTTACTCACAAAACCAGGCCAATGTGAAGCCTGAGCCCATGGCAGACACAGCCCAGCCCTGCTTAGTTTGGCCAGGATGGAACCTGGGACCCGGCCCTTGGCATGGTTCCCTCTTCTTTTCACCCTCCATGTCATTCACAGGCTGCTTACCCCATCTTTCACCTCACTAATGAAAAAGGCTGGACTGGGCCCTGATCCCTGTGGCATGCCTTTGGAAAAGCACCTCCTTGACCAGCTCCCATCACCTCCTCCATAGGAAGGACCTTGCCTGGAGGTGTGCAGAGCTCTTAGAGCAGCTTTGCCCTCTGGGGAGAACCCACCAACTGCACCGACAGTTTCTATAACAAATAAAAAAGGCAGCAGGAAGGAACATCAAACTCCTACAGCATGGCTCTGTGTTGAGCAGCTATGCTGGGCTTGGCTCTTTACAGTATTTTATTAAACTTTTGGGCTCCATTCCTGTCCTAAACAGATCTGGACATTGTTAACTTTTCTAAATCTTCTCTTACCTTACTGGCTGTGTTTCAGAAATAGGTGGCATGAGTCAGTCACAGAGGACCAGTTTAAAACATTGTAAGCTACTTCCCTCAAGTGGAGGGAATAAAAATCACTCAGCTGTGTGTCACAGGCTCTGTGTGTACCTCAGGTAGGAGGAAGATAATGGGAGATGGACACCTGCACAAGGTAGAACCTACCAAGCTGTTTGAAAGGTGTTAGGAGAATGGAAACATTGCCAATGATAGTGCAGAGTAAACTTTCCCACTGCACCGACCTCTGGGCACACGGGGGGCACCCTTTGTGTCAGATCCCAAAGGAGCAGGTGCTCTGATGGCCCAGCAAGTTCCCACATGGACAGCTCATCTACATCCATGCCCAGGTTCTGGGAACGTGCTGAATGCAAGCTGAGATGAGTGACAAGTGCTCCTACACAGCATTTCAGCACAAATGGAAGAGACTGCTTAGAAGCAGCTTGAGGGGTGAAAGAGCTGAGCTCTGTGGAACAAAGCTTTCCTGCCTCCCAGAGCTGGGGCTGCGAGGCAGGATGGGCTGGAGGGAAGCAGGCCCAGCTGAGGCAGCTGGCAGAACTGGTGGTGGGACCTGCACCCACCCCGAGGCTCTGTCTCATCTCATGGTCACTGTTTTCCACAGAGAAGCCAATGAAACACAAACAAAGAATCCCCATTTCACCGTAGTTCTACAGCTGTGGAGACAGCAGCCCAGCTCCAGCCTCTTCCCTGTGCTGCTCCAGGATGTTTCATCCCCTGCAAATGGAAAGAGATAAGAGGGGTTTAGCACGAGGCAGGATTTGTTTCTGATCAGTCCGACAAAGGGACACACAACCCGTTTATTACTGGAAATTAATTGTGCCATCAATGCAGATGCCTGCAATTACTTCCGTTAAATATTATCTTTAATTAACTGCAAAATATATAATTAATAAACTTGCCCCCTCATTTTTGTTAAGTTTCACCACTAAGACATTATTACTGAAATAAATCTTCCTAGCAGTGTGCATTGACAGAACAGAGAAAGGTGCACGCCTCTAGCACAGGATAATTTCCATATGGGAAGTGGAATTAGGAGGGAGGAATAATCACCTCTCTTCGTGGCTAGGACTGTAGAGACACCCCACTCTGCCACCAGTTGTTTCATCTCGTGCTGCTTGGAAGCAGGCATGGAGAATCTGCTTTGGCTGCCAGGGATGGCTCGCTCTGAAAGCTGTTGGGCAGATGCACGCTCGTCTTCCAAGCCTGGAGAAACAAAAAAATAAATTTCCTTTTCTGATTTCCAGTCCATTAAAAAAAGTTTTCTGACTATAAAGCTGCACAGAAAGACCTCGGTGGTCAGGCTGGCTCTTTCAGAAGCCCTGTGTTGCTCCAGCTCTCAGTGCTCTGCTAGAGCTGCATGACTGATTTGCTTCCCACGTACATCAGAACTGTTTGGACTCATGAAGGTTTAGGGATGGCTCTTAAAGCATCCCAATTAGAAATGCTTCAAAAACATTGCTGAAATTTGACTCCAAGCATAAAATTCCCCTTAGACTTTGTCTCCACTTGTGATCTTTACCTCAAGTTCGTTGATTGCCAGGGGTAATTAAAATATTTCCAAAGGCTGTTCTGGGCAACACTTTTTGCCTTGCTGCAGGTGACAAATGTTTGTGGTTTGCCTGAGGCTGGTGTTCCCTCCTGCCTGAGCTGAGCATGCCAAACCCAGAGGAATGCCTGCTCCATCACCATCCTCCCTGCCTGGGGAAGGTGGCACAGGGACCCGGGGACTGCTGGCACGAGGGAGGAGTGTACAAGCACAGAGCTCCAGCTCCTGGGTATGGAGAGACATAAAGAGGCACACAGGAGAAGAGGAAACACTAAGATTCATGGAAACACTAAGATTTATGGAAACACTTTCCACTTTGTGGAAACACTAAGATTTCCCTGCTTTTGGAGGTAGCTGGATGGCCCCCAGCAGAGCCCCCAGGGTGCAGAGCCATTTGCCCACAGCCTGGCAGTGTCAGTGCAGGTGAACTTCAGAAACAGAACCACAGAGCCACTGAGGCTGGGAAAGGCCTCTGTGACCACCAAGTCCACCAGCTGTGCTCCACCCAGCACCACCACCATGGTCACCACTAAACCATGTCCTCAGGTACCATATGCACATATTTTTTTGAATGCTTCCAGGGCTGGTGGCTCCACCACTTTCCTGTTCCAATGTCTGACCACCCTTTCTGTGGAGAAATTTTTCCTAATACATGTTCTAAACCTCCTCTGGTACAATTTTCCCTTCAAGGCCCTGGTTTGGTCTCATTTGGAGCTATTTCACAGAATCATTGTGGTTGGAAAAGCCCTCCAAGACAATCAAGTCCCACCTATGACTGATGCCCACCTTGTCACCAGCCCAGAGCACAGGGTGCCATGTCCAGGCATTCCTTGGACACCTCCAGGGATGGCAACTCTACCACGTCCCTGGGCAGCCCATTCCAATGTCTGACCAACCTTTCCGTGAAGGAATTCCTTCTGATGTCCAGCCTGAAGCTCCCCTGGCAGAGCCTGAGTCCTTTTCCTCTTGTCCTTAGTAGAAAAGGAGAAGGGTTGTCACCTTAACCACTATACCGAGGTTTTTGGCAATGAGATGAACTTGGGGAGGTGTCAGTTCCTGGCCATCCACTACCACTTTGTCACTTCATTTTGCAGCTGTGGGCAGACTCAAAAGGGTTCTGTGGGTTGTGAGTGCTGGAAATACACAACCCCTGGCACAGAGCAGGTCCTGTCAAAAAAAACCCCATACAGGAGACCCTCACCCTGCTCCAGCCCTGAGTCGAAAGCAAGGGCTCCATTCTCCACTTCATTTAACTACCACTTAAAAGTGGTGTTGGACAAATGTTAAAACAGCCAGGCAATTTGACTGCACAAAAAATTTAGAGTCAGCAAATTATCTAGTGAAATGATGCATATAGAAATGTTAATTCAATGGCAACCGAAACCTTCCACATCCCTTAACATCTAAAGATTATTATTCTACACAAAGAAAAGAGGGCTGAGCATACTGTCCTTGCTGGAGAAATTACAGGAATATTCTAGCTCACCTACATGATATATATAGCAGGGGCTGAAGGAGAGTTTAGAGGTGGGTTTGGGCTGGAAGCTCTGAAATCTTATTATTTGCCCTGGGTTTACTGGGGGAGAAGCTCCTGTATCAGCCCATTCCCACCATGTGCCTCTCTGCAGAATCTTTCTATATAAAAATCTAATTTTCCTGTTCTACACAAAGCATAAAGGTACTTTACTGTGACACACACACACACATTCCCACCCTTGGGAACAAGGACCCTTTGTGCCCACTCCCAGGCATTTTGTTCCTCAGGATCCCCACTGGGTCAGAGCAGGAACAGAGGGAGAATGGAAGAGTTAAGCAACTTAACTCTCTGGCTCTCGGGCCGCAGAAGGGGAGGGAGCAAGGAGGCAAAGCATCTGGCTTCCCTGCTTCCCTAACAGCCTGGCGGGAAGGCTGCTGTCAATTCCGCCTTCTGCCTTGTTGGAAGAAAGCAGAAGTGACAAGAGGCCCTCCAGGCAGGCAGCCAGGAACCAGAAATTCAATTGTGCTACCTCCTGAAACTGGACCTTTTTTTGGAGACCCTTTCCCTGGAATTGTTTTGACTTAAAAAAAAGGACTGTCATCGAGGTTCAGGGCTAATTCATCAGCCCTGCTCTCCTGGCTCTCCTTGCCTCCGTGGAAGCAGATTTGCACAAAAGGATTTCCATTTTCTGGGCTGCGCTACAACCAGCCTCACCCCCAATAAATACACAGACACATAAATATGCACACACACACACAAACACTGTTATTTATAGGTACGGGCTCTGCCACAGACAGACGCACGCCCGCGTGTGTTCCTTCGCTGTGTAACACGGGGGCTGCAAGCGCTACGGCAGCTGAATTTACTCCACGCTCACAGCTTAGGAAGCAGAGTGTGGGCCATACGGTGTGTCCCAGGGGCTTAGACCAACTGGTTATTGGCTGGTGCTGTTGTTCCTCTAACAAGCCCCTGGATATACGGCAGGGGCTGCAGAGAAATGCAGCTGGAGGAGCCTCTCCCTGTCAGCAGCAATCTGTCACCGCACGCTCGCACCCACTCTGTACAGCACAAAAGCTGCACGGCAGTGTCAGCACAAAGGTCAGGCTGCAGGTAGGCTGGGGGGGTTCTTCATTTCTGGGAACGTGCAGCCAGCTTGAGGCACCGTCTGGATGCTGCAGCAGGAATTTCAGCCTCACAGATGCCCGGCTATAATTTAAAACAAGGCAGCATTTCCATTACAAACCCCATTTTTCCCTGTGGATTTATACCTCAGCTATTCAGCTCCACTTTGGGGTGGACCTTCTTCACATTATTCCTGCACAACATTTAAATCCAGCTCAGCCTCTGTTGGTTGTGAGATGGAGAAGGAAATTACGTATGCACACAAATACTCACAAGCACACACAAAAAAGCTTACACAAACATATGCCTGCAGAGAGATCTGCCACAAAAAACCAGACCAGCCAATGCAAATAAACTCGATTTTAAGAGTGAATTAATTTGACTTGATTATTCTAAATTATTAACAAGTTCCAGCAACCTTAGAATGCAATATTCACACTCGAGCTTTCATTCAGGTTAAATGGAAACAGATAACTTATACTGATAGAGATGATAACAGTAGAAATCTGTGACAGCAAAGTTGGAGGCACAAACCCAACCCACCCAGAGCCCCTCTCCTTGCAGCAGTTGTGTGTTAACAACTCCTGGATGCTTCCCCTCGCCTGAAATATTCCAGGGCAATGAATCACCCCTGACAGAGCCAGAACCCCCCTGTTTCCCTGGCTGCCAGGTGAAACCTGACCTGCACAGCACTCCTGTCTGTTTATGACACGCTCTGCCTTAGAAAGCCCATTTTGTTAGGGGTTTTTTTAACTCTCTATCGATTCTGCTTTGATGTAGTCCAATAAAGCACATTGACAGAAGCAATTTATGTTGGCCAGTGTCTCCAGTTCCAAGAAAGCCTTCCTGGCATACGAAGAGGGGTTAAGCACCTGGCAAGTACTCTACAGGTTATCCAGTTATCCCAGATTACCAGGTTCATTCAATCCAAGCCCAGGCCTGAGATGAGGAATGACCTCCTGTTTCTCCCACTCCCAAGCAGAAATCGGTATGATTCTCTCTATGATCACTTCCTCACACTGCACAGAAACACTAGGAAACGTGACAAGGATTTTCTCAGTCTTAAAAGGAAAAAGCTGTAAGTGGTCACTGGAAAGAGATGAGCATTTCCTCACCTCTGATGGCACAGAAACCAATCCTGGGGCACCAGAGCTGGCACTGCTACCATCAGGGCTCAAGCATCTGGAAACTGTAAGATGTTCCTATTCACATTTCTGCACAGGTATGCAAATACAAATTGTTACAGTGCCACAAAGATCTTGATGAGGCAGTTGGGAATACCATGGATTTATCCTATCACCTGGAGACATTGCTGGCATGATAAGCTGTATTCTCTCTTCCTTTCCTGGTTTCACACCCAGACCTTGCTCCTGAGGTCAAGGAAGCACTGACCAAGAGCATCACTCAGGGAAGATATTCAGTAGATGTTTAGGTGGCTCCTAAGTGCAGCCTAACAGTTTCTTTGCCTCTTGCTAAGAGGGCAGAGGAGCAGAGCTGAGAGCTGCAGGGATTGGAAAACTCAGCTCAGTTTAGCCGCAGGGCAGTTTAAAGTGCCTGTTGCATTTTTCATCTGAGTACAGCAAATCCCCTCACTAAGCACCAGCTGAGGTGGCCATAAAATCCTGGAATGCTAAGTGGGGAGCAGGTATTGGGCAGGCCATGGATCAGGCAGACCAGGGAGCAGCTGGAGAGGGACACTGTCCTTCCAGGGAGGAGATGCCACCTGTCAGCAGCACCCGCTGCTCCGGAGGCATCTGAGCACGCCGGATTCTCTTCCATCCAAAGCTTCCCACAGTCACCAAGCATGGATAGGGTTTCACTCCTCACCAGCTGGAGCTCCAGGAAAGGGAAGTCTCTCTCCAGAGATGAAGATGAGGGTGGGACAGAGAGGCTGTAGTCATGACACAGCAGACATGGCCACTGGGTACCTGCTGTGCCAACACGACGCTTGGGTATCAGCGACTGAGAGATGGGAACATGCAGCTCGAGATCAGAAGACAATTTTATTGAGTATACAAGGCGTTTATATAGGGGTTTACTTGTATGGCACTTATATAGGGCTCTATTTTTGGTAACAATTTCCCACTGGGTACACATTCTTCATGACACGCTCCACCTGGTAACATCTTATATCACAAAGTTTCACAACACGTTTCTTGGTCACTTACTGCCCAGGGAGCACTTATCTGTGTCCCCCTCTCCCACGGTTTCTGCTCCATCAGGCCTGAGATATCAGGCTCCTTTATCAGTTCTATTGTACTCTCTGTTTTATTCCCCATGCTTGGGTACTGAAAATGCAGCTCAGCATTTACAAAAGGAAAAGAACACAAAGAAAACGTGGCCTTAAAACCCACCTGGACCTGCTGCCTCTGTGCCAGGCTCCCGAGGAGCCCCTGCTGCAAGAAGGGGAAAAAGGCACATTAATTTGCCATGAGTCTGTGAGCACCTAACTTAGGGCTCTTCATTTATCAGAGGAGACTCCTGTCTCCTCACAGAGAGCCCTGCCCAGCACCAACAGGAGGTTCCCTCAACCATCCATCCATCCATCTGTCCATCTACCTGTCCATCATCCATCCATCATCCATCCATCCAACCATCCATCATCCATCCATCCATCCATCATCCATCCATCCATCATCCATCCATCATACATCCATCATCAATCCATCCATCCATCCATCCATCCATCATCCATCCATCCATCCATCCATCATCCATCCATCCATCCTTCATCCATCCATCCATCCATCATCCATCCATCCATCCATCCATCATCCATCCATCCATCTATCCATCCATCCATCCATCCATCCATCCATCCATCCATCATCCATCCATCCATCCATCCATCATCCATCCATCATCCATCATCCATCCATCCATCATCCATCCATCCATCCATCCATCCATCCATCCATCCATCATCCATCCATCATCCATTCATCATCCATCATCTATCCATCATCCATTCATCATCCATCCATCCATCATCCATCATCCATCCATCATCCATCCATCCATCCATCCATCCATCCATCCATCCATCCATCCATCATCCATCCATCCTGAGCTCCATGGGCAGCTGGCAGTGCTCAGGGCTGAGTGTGGCAGCCAGGCTGGAGCACAGGCAGCCAGGAGCAGGGAGAGGAACTGCAGCAGCCCTGTGTGAGCCGTGATGGACACAGGGCTCTGCACCTGGACCCCTGGTGTGTGGCTGCTCCAGGATCCCCCGCAGCTCCAGATGGCAGCTCCGAGTGCTCAGGACCACTGGGGCTGTCAGGACAAACACGCTGCACTCGCTGGCAGCCCACACAGGAGTTCTGAAGCTGTCACTCACTCAGGCCATCCCCAGACAGTGCCAGCAGGCCTCGG